TTGAGGAGAACTGCCCAGACAGATGCAGATAAATGAAGACCATAGACCAAATAGGTACATGTTCTTCAGTTTAAGAAAATGGTTATAAATATAATCATGTGCAGGTAGTTCTGGCCCACAGATCTAAGAGGAGTAGGTTCAGCAAGATTAAATTGAGGCGGGGGGTGGGACAAGCAGTTAGCTTAATGGCTATGCCGCTGGACTCCCATGTAGTCGACCGTGGTTCGCATCCTGGACCCGGTGGCTTAAAACGCACGCTGGGCGTGTGTGCGTGCATGCCCAAGATCCCAAGAGGAGAATGGAGGAGAAGAAGGGGCTGCGGCGTGACCATCCCCCCTGGGGGGTGATTTCTCGCTTTCTGTCTCTCTGTCTTTCTCTGTCTGTCTGGCGAGCACACACACCCTATAGCAAAAACCTCTCAAAAAAATGAGGAGGGGGTTAAAATTATCCAATAATATACAAGTAAATTCTTAATATAAAGTTTATACAAAGTGAAAAACTTCAAAGATCTCTATTTCATTTAAATAGCTTCCCCACAAGTAATCATCGTTGTCAGTAGGTATCTTTACATAAATATCAGTGTAACAGTAGTAATATTGTTGTCTTTATTGTTCTATTCCTTAAACCTATGCTTCTTATATACTAGAAATGACTTCATTCATTATTTTAAATTAATAGCACTCTTAAATGTTTATTTTGTAGCTTGTTTATATATTTCTCCCACTGATCAATTTTTAAATTACTTCCAAGTTTTCACTATGCTGCAATGAACATTGTGCAGTGTAAATATTTCTCTAGAATTATGCAAAGAAGTGGGATTATAGGGGCACAGAGTTTGTGCACGATTCATTTTAACAGATACTGCCCAGTTGACTTTCCAAATGGCTATGCCAATTAGACATCCACGAGCAGTGTGTGAAAGAAAGTACTCATGACTAGAGAATGCTTTTCTACAATTGTTTGGTCTTTTAGACCAGGGCTAATAATCCTAGTACCATTCTGAGAAGACAGTTTGTGCACAAGTATAGCTCCTAATAGGTATTCTATAAATGGTAGCTCTGTCCTCCCTTTAACCAATTTGTATCTGATGGCATCAGCAAATGAAACATAATGAATCTCACTAGCCAAGTGGATTAGCATTTAAGAGAAAAGAATATATGATCAATTTTATAAATATGCATAAATTAACATTATACATACAGACATTTATTTATACTAGTATAGGTAGGATTACTTTATTCAGATACCAAGATAGTAGATATTTAAAGGGCAAAATGATGTATGTGAACAAAGTCTAGTCTGGCACTACAATGAAGTAATTCTTTAATCTCATGTTTGAAAGTTGGTACATTAATTCCATAGATTATAATATACTTAAACGATTTTAGCTTTAGTTGAGTCTTCATTACTAGAATTAATCATTTATGCAAATATGACTTCCCCCTTACAACCCTCATGGAAAGCCTAGAGGACAATGGAATAGCTTCCAAATGTAAAATATCATCATGGTGGCTAAATATGAGCTGAAGAGATTAAGATGTTGACCAACATGGATTCAGTTTGTAGCACTATGAATTTAGGCTAGATATAAAAGAGTGTGAATTAGAAGATCTTTAAGCTCCCTCTATTTCTGATAGTCTGCGAATAGAGATCATTTCCAGCTTACTTCTCCATACAGACAAAACAATTTCAAATCCTTTAAGCTTGTTTTTCCTTTGATGATAATGATAATGACAACTAAAACCCATTAAAAGCTCTCTATGCAAAACACGTCATAGATCATCTTATTTAATACTCAAAACAACCCCATATGGAAGATACTGTTACAACTCCATTACACACATAAGTAAAGTTAGACAATGATAGGTTAAGTAACTAGATGAAGATCACATAGCTAATACTAAGGTACTGGAATTCTAACTCAGGCAGCATGACTTCAAAACTCATACTCTTAATCACTATACTTTGCCATATCTATAGTTTACCTCATTGTATTTTCTGTTTTTCATGTGTGGAACCTAATTATATGGTTAGATTCAACTAGTGCTTCTAATAGGAGGCCAGATATTGGTCTATTTAATGACTTACTGTCAAAAGCAACTTTTGGATGCCTGAAAACAAGAGACCCATTCAAAAGTGACAGTGGGAAAGAACAGTCCTGACTAAATAGCTTGGGCTTCTATAAATTAAATAGGGGTTGTTTATACAGTTTTTATATTTATATAGTCACAGACCTCTAAACTCAATAAAACATTGACTTTTTATTTAATATTTACATCATCTAAGCCTTTCAATTTTGCAGGAAGACTCTATTTTTCAAATAAACTATTTGCATATTATCAAGTCATTTATTCCTGTCATTTAAATATGCTAAATACATAAACATTATCTTGTTGGAAACTTTCTTTATGAAGAAGTGTGGCGAAAAACAATGTGTTTATAACTAGATGGATTTCCACCTGGTATAAAATTCAGGTCTTTTTTTTTTTTTTTTTCTGTACTGCTTCAAGTAGTGACTTTGGGAACATTGTAACATTTCTCTTTCTCCTCCTTATCTTTACTTTTTATGAAATACATATAGCATTACTCATTTTAAGAACAGAAATGATTAAATCAGTCTGGTTTTGGGGATACTTTCACTATATACCACCTGAGATAATTATCCATACCTTAGTACAACCGACATCAGAGTTGGGAAATCCTGGTTTCCCTAGGGAATTCATAATTTACAAGAAGGTATTTCTATTAGCTATGTTTGACAGAGTTAAATCAGATGAAGTGCAATTGCCCCAAATTTCTTAGTTATTTATCTTAGTGAGAGTATTTTTGAGTAGCCTAGTACAATGGAGAAAGAAATAAAGGAAATCAGAGCAGGAGAGGTTTTATTCTCCTTTAGATAAGGAAAAGTTTAAAAACTTAGGTTATAGTCTGATTTCCAAGATTATTTCAAGACAAGTCTTTGACTATCAGAACAGCAGCTTTTTTTGGGGAACCAGCAGTTAGCGTAATGGCTATGTCGCTGGACTCCCACGCAGTCGACTGCGGTTCGTGTCCTGGACCCGGTGGCTTAAAACTCACGCCAGGCGCGGGTGCGTGCGTGCCAAAGATCCTGAGAGGGGAATGGAGGAGAAGGGATTGTGGCGTTGCCATCCCCCCTGGGGGATGATTTCTCGCTTTCCGTCTCTATGTC